ATTAAGAACAGGAAATCCACCAAAAGCCTGAAAGCAATCAATTGTCACTCTCCTATCCAAGAAGCTGATATGGTCCCATAACCTGTTCAACATTAGACCAATAGCCTTACTGGAAACAGGCCGCAAGATGTTTACAAAAATCCTCAATACAATATTAGCAACCATTCTCAGTGAAAATAATATCTTATCCTTATTCAATTATGCAGGAATGAAGGACCAGAGCACAATGGAACTGATCACCATAATTAGATCATCAATCAACCTTGTGCATCTCTCAATCAAAAATACTGGCTAGCTTCCTTTAATATCTCAAAAGCTTATGACTCAGTAAACCACAATAGCCAAGAAACAGCCATGCAAAAGATTAATATCCCACAAAACTTCATTAGAATCATCACAAATTTGCTTCAAAACCAATCATTACGGTTTATCTCACACTACAGTATCACCCACCCAGTAATAGTATTTTAAGGTCTGGACTAGGTTGAAACAATTGCCCCCCTTCTATAGATAATATTCTATGATTCAGTAATAACTAGAATCCAAAACACTTTAAAGAAGGATAACAAAGTGTTTGCATATATAGATGATATGGCCATACTTATCAAAAAAATCAAAGATTTACAAGTTGCTACTGATATCTTCATCTCCTTTTTGAAAATAAACCACATAACTTGCAACAAATCGAAGACCGAACTCATAACAAACAACTCAAGGAAAAGTGATGAGAGAAAGAAGAAATTAAAAGTAGAAGACATACCCATATCATCAAGAGCTTTTGATCATGGCATTAGATATCTGGGAGTATACCTTGGTAATAAATCTCAAAAGAAAGCTACATATAAAAACTTGACAACCAAAATTGACAATTTCACGAAATGTATATCAAAGCAAAGAGCCTGGAATAGGTCCATAACTAAACAAGTAACACAATGGGTCATACTCACCTAGCTTGAATTTGCCTTACAGGTCATACCCACTAAGGAAAGCGAGATACAAAAATTACAGGTCCTGATAATAAGTCAATCAAAAGCAAGCTTGGGATAGAGAGGATCCTGTCCAACAAAGCATTTCTATCACCATTGGGTCTCAATGTAGTTTCACTTGAAGACCGAAGAAAACAAACTCTAACAAAACTGCTGGTCTCTGCTCTAAACAACAGCAAAATATTACCTGTAATAAAACAAGAAATTACAGCAATCCAAGTTAGCACAGCCATATGGGCATGCCCCCTATGCCAACCTCATTACTTCAAGCAATAATGGCTTGTAGAAGCATCTATGATAGCCCTGAGATATCATATAAAGGTTTGCCCACACCCATGCCCTTTCAACATGAAAGAAAGTGACTTATCAATTGGACTGCACTTCACATTAGACAAAACAATGGTACTAAACTTATCAAGACAAGATATCAGAAATATAAGGTAACTTCTCAAATACAACAGCAATGAACGCAACACATGGGATGAATTCTAAACTAAGCTAGGAAAAGTTTACCAAGGACCAATATCTAGATGGTTCAAAATGAACATAACACTCCCTCCAATTGTAAAGGGTGATACCTTACCCCTTTCCAACCTATCACCAATCCTATAGGCATTTATAGAAGGATTACGACTCAAAATCTTAAAAACAAGAAAAAATGCTAAACAAGATGAAACTATCATAGGCAAACATGTTGTTCTCTCTGAACTCCATAACAAGCTAATCACCTGTTCATGTACCATACAACCTTGCCTGATCTCAATTACAACAACGGCTGTCAAATCCTTATGGCATAAAAAAACAAAGAACAGTCTTATACTTTTAAATAGTGTCAATGAAATTATGGAGCAAATCTCAACAGTTTCAACTCTCAAGCCCTATATACAAATAAATCCCATCACACTCATCGATCAAACAATAACTCCGTAGCATATTCATATCATTCAGACTATAAATGGATACTTAACAATGGATAAGAACATTAGTGTCCTATATGAGAATAAATCCCAATTACATAATGAATTCTGGGTCTTACTAATGACAAAGCTACATAAGATCAGTCACCACTCCACCATCGAATGTCACTTAACAAATGTGCCAAATATGATTCTACCTAATTACTTAAATAGAAAAGTTAGAATCCCCTATAGTGCTTACATAAATGAACTAAAAATATTACAAAAAACCAAATCTTTAAACATCCAATTCAACAAAATAGAGAGCAGTGAACAAATAACTCCTACCATGGTTCCCCAAGTACCACCAAGAATCCATTGTAAAAACTTCAATAGTTCCCCCTTAATTAATTATTCAATTGAACCCAGCATTATCGATTGGCTAAAATCTATCAATCATAGCAAAAATCTATTTCTCATTCATACAAGTCAGAATTGTATCTACAAGCCCACATCTATCGAAGACTACACACTCCTAAAAAAAACAAACAAGGAATTATGGCCAAAGGATAAAGTCAAATTCAAAACCTTGGTTATCTTTAGAACTAAATTATTATTTAACTCTCTCCCAACAAGGCACAAACTTCACAAGAGATATCCCTCAACATATTCTGATTAAAAATGTTCAAAATATGATTAGGAAATTGAAGACATGATACACATGGTTGAATATTCCAAAAGCAAGGAAACGATTCACAAAGCTATTCCAAAACTAAACAAACTAATCAACCAACCTCAAAAAAAAAGACATAGCAAAACCACCACACTAAGAAAAAATTTTTTACTTGACATAGAAAGAAGCATCTTACTTAAAACAGTTTTGACCCTATCTAATGAGTATCTGAATTAGATTACTAGCAACAAATTAAAAATCAAAATCACTAACAAATCTTTCAAAGTTCTATACAAAATTTGGAAACAACGTTCAGCCACAGCAACTACATCTTCACGGGCTGGTATTAAATGGAAGAAGAGTAAAGCGAACAAAAACAGTCTCCCAAAAAAAGAAACCAATAACAATTATGATCAGAGCTACAATATATTCAACAGAATCTTAGACACAATAAAAACCAATAACAACTTTACAAACCTATCAATTTTTACACCCACTATAATTTCATCATTTTTGAATAAGCATTAGCTATTCAACCTTGCTCTGGCATTCCCAGTCACAGACTGTAAGGGTGTCAAAACAAGATAATCGCAATAGACTATAGTTAACTTACTATTTTATAAAGACTATTAATATATTGTTTATGAATTGAATTTCTAATAAAAACCTATGTTTAATGCTCATTTGTGATAAAAAAAAATATATATATATTTAAAGATTATAAAATGTTTCAGTTAATTTTAATATTAATATTATTTTTTACAAAATAGGTTTTATAAGCTTTAATATATAAATTAAATATTTATATATTATAAAATAAAGAAATTAATAAAACCTAAATATATTAGTTAAAAGAAAATTTTTATTTTTAAAAATATTATTCAAGATTTTATATGATTATTCTATAAGCAGATTATAATTTACTATATAAAAAGAATAGTTTATTAAAATAAAATATTATTTAAAATTTCATATAAATATTCTATAAATAAATTGGTAGATCAATAGTACAGTAGTAGTGCTCTTAAGTTATCATTAATTATAGGTCTCTAAAGTATTTAGCATATAAAATTTCATAGATCACTTATGTTCCTTTTTGAGAAACAAAATTCATAGCTCTTTACTTTAATAGGGACAAAAGTCAAAAAATACTATAAATCAATGATTTGAATAATAAAGAACAATTATAAGTAGTTTTTTATAGTTATTAATTTAAAATTTTTGATATTTTCTAGTAAAGAATATTTGACTTTTGTCCTTGCCTCCTCTTTTAGAAACCCATCTTTAATTACTATATACTATTTCTAAGTTCAATATCATTACAAGACAATACTATCTAAGCATAGATGATATAGGAAAATTCCATCTGTCTTATAATAACAATTATTGCTATCTATAATTAAGATCCTGTCCAATTATAAGATAATTAAAGATTATAAGATACTTCGGTTGATTTTTGTATTAAAGTTATCTTGTTACAAGATAGGTTTTAACAAGCTCTTGCAGATAGGTTGAAGATCTGTATACTATAAAAACTAGAAAACTAGTAGAGTTTAGGTACATTGGTTTAAAGAAAGTCTTTATCAAAAATTGATATTCATCCAAGACTTCATATAGTTATCCTATAGATAGATTATAATAAGTCATATAAAAAGAGTTATTAATAGGATGAGATAATATCTAAGACTCTATATAGGTATTCTATAAACATATTGTAATAAGTACTATAAAAAGAATATTTAGCAAAATGAGATATGAAAGAAATCCTATGTTACAGTCCTGAAACCTATTACTATAAGTATAATTTGTAAGGATCAATGAAGAATAATATAGACATAGGTAGTTGAATAGTTGAGCTTCTTCTGACAACAAGCCACATTGATAGGTTGATAATCTGAAAATGGATTTATATTAACTACACTATATATATATAATCAGATGCATACTATATATAGTAGAAACTCCATGTATAGATGTACAATATCTATATATAACTAAGCTTTGTACCCTTAAAAAAAAAAAAATTCTATAAACATATTATAAAAAGAATATTTAATAGAATAAGATAAATAAAAAATGTAAGAAGGTTCTAAACCTAATACTAAAGAGGCTAGGATTCAGGACAAGAACAAGAAACCTCTTTTAGCAACAAGCCACATAAGATTATTAAGATTAGCAAAATGGATTTATCACAAGTATTAGTTACAAGAAAAGCATATAATATAAATTATATATACTTAAAATAATTCTATATATCTGTAATCTAATTGTAATATACTGTATATAATGCAATGTAAGTAGAAGTAGAATTCGTTATGGTATTTCCGATTAATTATAATAATTTTTAGGTGATCTGAACATTTTGATTGGATTTAACAGAACGACCAATGAACCTATAACAGATCATATTTGATTAAGTTCTTCAAACGAAACACTAGACACGCTATGAATGATATGAATGACAGCATTAGTATATTGGTCGCTATCCTCGTGATCTTTTGCGTCTTTCGTTGGTTATTAGGTGCGGTCTTAGATATTAAACCATCACAATCGTAGTTTAAAAAAATTATTAAAATCGAGATCTGGTTATAGGTTCAACACCTCAACAAACACCAGTAAATAATAGAGGAAATATTACAACAAATGATATCCCAAGGGCTAGGCCGAGACCCGTCACACCCGAAATGGTATATTCCTATTAATCATCGAGTCAGAACTCTATTTTGCACTATTAATTTTAGATAGGTGGTTTAATTATAGGTTGAAACAGTATGCGCTATGTTTCCCAACATTCCTCCAGCTGCTGTACAATACGATCTTCAAAAGACAGGATCTGTAGAAGTTACCTGTGACAATATTCTTCAAAACGGTGGTTTACCATTGGTAGTTTTGATCTAATTTTTATAAAAAGAGTACTATTGTAACGTAGTCCTAATATTCAGTTTAATTAAAGCCTCCCCCTCCAGTTACGGCGTCATTTGCAATTCCCTCAACATCTCATGCATCTTCATCATCAGCATCAACTGGAATAAGTTCCTCTATAACCCAACAATCTTTAGTTGATAGATATAAGCTTCAGGAAGCTGTAAATAAAGGTCTTGTCCCGCAGGATCCACCAAAGATATGGGAAACTACTCCTGAAAAAAGACAGGAACTGTTGCAACAAAAGAAGGATGCAATGGTTCTACAGGCTAGAGTGTATTTATTTTAAAATTTTAGTTTTTTCGAAAATAATTTACATAAGTATTTGACATTTACTCGAATTTTTAGACGGTACCTTGAGCAACAACGGAAAAAGGAATTGGAAACAAAAACATGTTCTTTTGAAAATCCTTCACTTACAGACCTAACACAATTAACAAATAACAATTCACTTAAAACGCCAATTATTCAAAGTTTTTCTGAAGATGACCAAGATCTTCATCCTGAGCTAAGACGTCAGCAGATATTACAAGCAACCGAACGAAGGTGGAACAAAGAGGTGAAAAAATAATTTATGAACTCTATAAAGAATATCATTGGATCGGAGAGTATCCGAAATTTAAAAGAAATTTCTTTTTTTAGACCTTGTAATTTACTCAGATATCGGGGTTGAAATTTTTATTAATGTTTTTATGATGGATTCTATTGAATGTTTAAAAATTATTTGCGCATTTCCCCCTAAAATATAACATTTTCCATCATAATTTTTGTTATTTTTATTTTATTTTAAATTCTGTGAATTTTGAAACCACTCCTAATAATAATTGCCTCTTGCCAAAATTAAAACCATTGTTTTGTTTATATTTGGTTCTTCAACTATGTCAATTAAATTTTTGAATTTTGCAATTTTATTTTTATTCGAGAATTTTTATCAAATATAGGTAATTATGAGTTATATCATAATTCGTTAATAAAACATTGTATAATATGATTTAGATATAGAAATAAAAGAACTTTAAGGCAAAATAAAAAAATATTTTTAAATAATAAAAAATTTTTATTAGTATAGTTTTTTTAAAAAGGAATAGCAATCAATTATTTATACAGTATTATATAGCTACTTTTTTTTTTTTATTTTAACTCTGTCAAGTTTTTCAAGTATACTTTATTAAACATAATGTATATTATACTTCCCTTATTTTAGATTGTTATCAAACTCTAAATACAACTTTAGGAGTGATTTTATAGTTTGGATTAATACTTTTCTACTATAAATATTATTATTGCTTGCAGTTTACTATTGCAGATTATATTATATTATTATTATAATTTTTTTTTAATCTTCTATCAGGTTAATTAAGTATGTTTTATTAAATATAATATAGATTATACTAGTTATAGTACCATTAAAACTAAATCATTAATTAATTTATTTATTTTAATTTGTTATTAAACTTCAAGTATAACTTTGAAAATAATTTATTATTTTATTTATAGTTTGAATTAATACTGTGATCAAATTTATATTTGACCGGTGTGTTCAAATGAAATTGCTTTTAAAAGGACAATTCCCAAAGAAAGAATTAAAGAATCAGTTTATAATAAAGAAATATTCAAGAAAAGAT